TAATTCCAATGATTAATAAATGTTCTTTATACTCACACACTGAATGAATGATTAATGCGAATGAAATGATTTGAAGGTTATTACGTAATGGTAAATAAGTATTTATGTTCTTGATTTGTGAACTTGATTTGCTGTTTTTGATTCCAATGTTAATAAATGTTCTTTATACTTACGGTCTAAATTAATAAATAATCAATATTTATTAGGTTACTTAGCTAACATGTAGTAGATTAATAGATTTTTTATACTTACTCCCTGAAAATTTAAATTGAATAAATAAATTGAGATATTTCCAATTTTTAAAAGAATTTTTTAAAAAAATAGCTTACTTATCAATCCATTCCAGAAACTTATCCTTATTCTTTTCCACACAAATTCCGTAATGGTAACAAATTGCAGTTTTAAAAATTCCCATAGAATTACCCTTATCAGCTGACTTCAAATAATATTCAAATGCTTTGTGTTTATCTTTTTCAACACCAATTCCTAAATAATAACAATATCCAACTTGATACATTCCGTTAGAATTATTCATCTCTGCAGATTTTTGATAATAACTGAATGCTTGGTTTACATCCTTTTCAACGTCAATTCCATATTCATAGCGATAACCAAGCAAGTACATTTCGTCCGAATCATTCATATCTGCCGGTACTTATCGCTCTTTCGTTAACTTTTAATTTTCTATTTTGACGTGTGAAAAAAAATTAATAATGCATACCGATGTAATACGTATCTTTATTTATACTTACAATTAGGGATGACTGTGCAAAGTCACAAGATCAAGTCTATGTAATTATCGCTACGTATTAATATCGATATATTTTGCAATACTTACAATGGTTGTACAATATCTTAAATTATGTATACTGCTGGGTTAAAAAAAAATTGTCCACCTCGTGATTTTTGACCAATCAAATTTCAAAATTAGGTGTGACGTAAACAATCAAAGCTAACCACCTTTTTACAAAAAACGGAACCCGAAATTTTAATTAAGAAACCGCCTTCTACAGCCTAATCAAAAATTCTTTAGTGAAATTTTACTACTAAGCACAAAGTTATTTAACTTTAACCCAAACTATAGCGCAGTTTTATTCGATAAACAAATTACAAAAAGTACAATTTTTGTAAAAAAAAGCTATCTAAGATTCAGTTCGGCATAATAGAATTATTATTTTATTATATGTTTACATAAAGGATGATATGCAAGGTTTGTTTGTTCGGCCGCAGTACATAACTATAGTCCGATAAATCGTAAACATTTATATATATTGTATAAATTGTATTTTTTATTTATATAAAAAAAGTTTAGACAAAAGAGTTTTGATGTATATTATCTTTTTCCGTGACCATTGTATCGACTAATTATACAATATAAAAAAAAGTTAGTTATTATTACAACTATAAATATATATACAAAGCAAAGTCGAAATAGTAACGAAAGGGGTTAAAGGAACAGTGCGACTTGCTCTGGAGACAAGAATTTCGCAAGACTTCTTGGCCGCGTAAGGAAGATAAATAACCCGAACTTTTCGCCCTCAAGTTTTTCCTTACAAGCGGAAGCGACGAAAACCAGAAACATATTTGCTTCGGCAACCGCGTGCGCCTCAGAAACTATTGACAATTGTCCAATGTCGATTTTCATCGCTTGGGCAAAGTCGTCGTTCTCTGCAAGAAGTCCTGGTGCCGAAAATCGTCATCTCCCTTACACTGACGATTCACGATAATGCTTACTCCTTTCGCTAATACTGCTTCAATACCATATATATATACCTTCGATAGCAGTAATCACTCCTCCGAGAGAAAACAAAACGCGTCAAAAAATATTCGAGAACGTCATCAACGCAACTAACTCCAACAGTTCTAACAGCAACGGCTCCAACGACGAAATCACGCTT